AATGATTGTGTCGGGAAAGTGCCTGTCGGGGAAATAAATATCGGGGAAATGATTGTGTCGGGGAAATGATTTGTCGGGGAAGTGATTGTCGGGGAAATTAATGTCGGGGAAATGATAGGGATCCAGTGCGCATGAATATAAGGAATTAAATTCATTAATTAAATTATTAAGAATATTTTCAACTAATTCGGGAGTATCTCCCATAAATATTTTTGATACCATGAATTACTTTCGCTTTTGTTTAAAAAAAAGAATTAAGTCCGTTACGTATTGTTACACATACACATGTTCTTTATTTATAATTTAGTTACGTAGTACACCCTAAAAATTGTTCATCCTCTGTAATTTTTGACCAATCAAATTTAATATCAGGAGTAATGTGACAGCCAAACAAAAAATTTTATAGATCATCTGGTTCAGAATCGGCCACTTTCAACTAATAGAAATATAAATATTTGGCTGAATTTACTTGACTCTACTAGTGGATTAATGATCAGTGATATAATTTCAAAGAAAATTAAGATTCAATCCCATACCTATGTTGTGCATTAAGAACAGAATAACTTGAATAGTACAATTCAGCCGATAGGAATATATTCATAAAAAATCACTTTGTTCTTTAAGGGTGTTCACAAGTAGCATACTCAATTAATTAGCCAATGATGTAATGGTGTTCATCCTTTATGTAATTTTTTTTTTTTTTTTATATCTTTGGCACTATCGCCGAAGGGTTAAGTAAAATTTAATTAGATCTTCATTAAAGTTCTGCAGAACGAATAATGATGTAATTGATGTACCATCCTCGAAGTGATTAATTGGCGATTAATTTGTGAGTGTTTACGTTGTTAAGTATGGATTTGACACCTGTCCCGATTAGGACCTCACGAGCATGTGACCTATGGCTACGTCACTAGAGAGTCACAAGTCACATATCAACAGCTTAAAGAAGCACTTGATTAATGTGACCGACGACTCCGCGGTAGATTGGCTCGAACCTTGGAACCGTATAACCAAGAGTGATCGAAGGACAATCGCCCCACGGATCTTTGTACCATTACCTGAAGCATATTATCATACATAAATGCTTATTACCTGAATAGTAAATACCATACAAAACTTTGTTGCCTTATCAGTCCCGATACTAATAACAAGACACGTGATGCGAAATCAATAATGTTTCCAAATGGGCCCGATAGCTGTTGCTGTTGGTATCATCTCAAAAATTAGCTGGCCTTAATATCAGGTAAGTTTGCCAGAAAAGGCATGTTTAGCTTGTGCCTTTCAAAAGATAATGAAGCAATATCAGGAATGATCATTGAGGTACAGTAAAATAATGAATGTAAGCAGGTGTAATGGGGCAGACTAAAATTAGTCAGGCAAATATAAAGAATGGGTTTTATTATATGTATTGAACAGACTAGAGTTTACAAGAAGAAAAGTTTTGCCTTATATACCCACTGCGACTATGAACCCTTACTAATATGATCACTAGCTAGACTACAAATTATTACTGCTTAATAACCTCATAATTCATGCATTTGATATTGAGCCGCAATTGACTATAATAAACTATCGCTATGACTATTAATTAATTAAATTATGATACATAATTTATGTGTCAAGAAGTGCTTGGATCGGGAATGAAATAACACTTAGCACGATTATGGGATTCGAGTCACGAATCTGGATCACAGGCTGGGTGTTATATTTTAATCACTGAACGATTATTATACTATCCTCCCCTTTAAGATAACCTGTTCCCCTCTATTCTCTCTTTTTTTTTTTTGCTTTTCCATGTTGTATATAGGGTTGGGCCATGTTTGTTAGGATAACTGCGATAAAAGGTTTCAACAGCCTTTTGTGCATGAGATAAGTTTTTGATGGGTTTCCAAAAGCATTCACTTATATTATAGCCTTTCCAGTCGACAAGGTAGTGTAGTTTATTCCTGAAAATTTTGGAGTCAGGTATTTCATTAACTTCATATTCGTTCTCTCCTTCAATAAAGATAGATGGTGGTGGCTCAACAACTCTACTAGGAATGTTATTGGCAGTATAAGGTTCAAGGAGGGAGATGTGAAAAGTATTATGGATTTTAAATGCCGAGGCAGATCCAAATGGTATGACACCAGGTTGACTTTTCTGGAAATAACATATGGGGCCTAACTTCTGATAGTCCAGTTTCCCTGAAGGCCTCTGGGTCCGAATGTTGCGCCTCAACAACCAAACCTTATTGCCAACTTCAAAAACAGGAGCTGGCTAACAATGATAGTCAGCATTTTCTTTGTAATATTTCTGTGCCTTTCTTAATTCACTAGTAAGGGTTTCTTTTATATGTCGTAGTTGTGCCACTTTCTATCAGCTGATTGTACTATGGAATGATGTGGTGTTTGCAAATCGAAATGTGGATGGAATCCATAGTTAGCAAAGAAGAGAGTGGTCTTTGTAGAGAAATGCATTGAATTGTTGTAGGCAAATTCAGCAAGTGGGAGTAGGTTAGACCAGTTGTCTTGATGATAATTTATTGTACATCGTAGATATTGTTATAACACTTGATTAACCCTCTCAGTATGGCTATTGATTGAGAATAATAAGCAATTGATAAATTAATTTTGGCCCCTAACAAATTAAATAGGTGCTTCCAAAATTTCGAGACAAATTGGGGCCCTCTATCTGATATTATTTCTTTTGGGAGGCTGTGAAGATGGATTATTTCTTTGAAAATAAGTTGTGCTATTTCTTCAGCACTGATATTTTTACTGCATGCTAAAAAGTGTGCCATTTTGGATAACCAATCTACTATCACTAAAATTGAATTACACCCTGACAATAAAAGTAGGTCTGTGATAAAGTCTGCAGAGATGGACTGCCAATATTAAGTGGGTATGGGTAAGGAAACCAGTAACCCATAGGGATGATGTCTTGGGGATTTGGATCTAGTGCAAACATTACAGGATTTAATATAATTTTTTATAAAGAAATGAAGTTTTGGCCATCAATAGTCTCTCATCACTAATTCTATAGTTTTAGCTACCCCAAAATAACTTGATAATTTTGAGTCATGCCTAGCTTGCATTACTTCAAGTTTTTTAGGGTTTCTGGTATATATAATAAACCCTTCCTGAAGAGGAGCTCATTCTCGTACTGAAATTTATTGTAATTACTGCGTGATTTTGTGTGCACCTTTCTCTTAGTTGTTAATAATATCAAAAGGCAGAGGGTTACTTCTGAGTTGGTCACAGATTTAATCTCTTAAGGCATTGTCAGTAGGTGTTATGTATGTGGTATTTACTTGAAGATTTTTGGCTTTTAACAGTATAGTGTGTTGCTGAATTACTGCTTCATTGTTTTCTTAGAACTAATAGTCTGGTCTTCAGGACAAGGCATCTGATATACCTTGTTTTTTGCCTGAATGAAAAGTAATTTTAAAATTATAATTTAAAGAAGAATAGACCACCAAGCTTGCCAGCAGCTAAAATTCCTTGTAGTAGCAAAATATAGTAAGTTTTTATAGTTGCAAAAAAAAGATATATTATGTTGTGTTCTTTCCAAAAAATGGTGCCAATGTTTGAATGCTGCTACTATTGCTAATAATTCTTTGTTATAGATATTGTAGTTAATCTCTGCTGTAGTAAATTTTCAAGAATAGTAGGCGATGAGGTGAAGGCGTTCTACTTCTTGATACTGAGACAAAACTGCACCAAATGCATAATCTAAAGTGTCAGTTTTGAGAAAATATAGTTTGGTTGGACTGGCTTAAATTAGTATAGGTGCAAAGGTAAAGGCAGCTTTCAGGGTTATAAAAGCCTGTTGAGCTGTGGTAGGCCATTTGAACACTTTGGAGGTCTTCTTAGACCATTGAGTCAGGTTTGTCAAAAAAGTGACTAATTGGGCATAGTTTCTAATAAAATGCTTATAATAATTTGCAAACCCTAGAAAATGTTAGATCTTATGAGTAGTTGTTGGAATGGGCTAAGAGACAACAGTAACTCAGGAAATCTATTTTCTCTTAATCAAATTCATATTTTTTCAACTTTGCAAATCGCTCATGGTGGCACAATTGTTTCAGAACTACTATATATGTTGATTATGTTTTTTTTGATTAGCCAAGTAAATTAAAATATCATCCAGATAAATAATCATGAAATGATCCAAGAAATCACAGAAAATATTATTTATTAGATGTTGGAAGATAGCTGAGGTGTTAGTAAGCCCAAAGGGCATCACTAGATATTCAAAAAGCTCATAACAGGTTTAAAAGGCTGTTTTCTATTTATCTTTCAGGTTTATACAAACTAAATTGTAGACTCTTCTCAGATCTAGTTTGGTAAAAATATTAGCTACCACAAGCCTATTTAACAATTCCAGTATTAGCAGGAGGAGGTACCTATTCTTAACTGTGATTTTATTCAAACCTCTGTAATTGATGCACATTTGTAAAAACACATCTTTTTTTTTAACAAAGAGAACAAAAGAACCAGCAGAAGATTTAGAATATTGTATAAACTCTTTTTCCAGGTTTTCTTTAATATAGGCTCTTAGAGCTTCAAGTTCTTGTGTGAACAACTCATAAATAGGTCCCTATGGTGGTTGCATCCCAGGAAACAAATCGATAGCACAGTCATATTTTCTGTTTTCAGGTAACTTATTAGCATCCTTCCTTTTTATTAAAAACATCACTGAACTCTTGTTATTTTGAAGATAGTTTAGGTGGTCTTGTAAGACTTGTAGTAGTTGCCAGAACAGTGAAGACTTAGACTCAACAGAGTTGCTCTTTATGTTTAGATAGTAATTAGAATAGTAATAAATTTGAAGTATGGGTTTTACATAATAGATCAGAGAAAACTATAGACTTTTGGTTCCAGTTGATCTCAGGATTGTGCATGGTTAACCAAGAAAAGCCTAAATTTATCTTGTGATTAGGAGAAGAAATTAGGTGAAGGATAATTTCTCATAATAGTTGTGAATTTGTAGAAGTAGAGGGCAGTTTTATGAGCGATTACCTCTGAGGCAATCTCCTAACTATCAATAACTTTTACTGACAAAGGTTTTCTTTTTTGAGTAGGGAAAGGTGGTGTTTATGTGCCAAAAATATATCAAAAAAACAAGCTGAGATGCCAGAGTTGATTAATACTTTTGTTTGTACTTGAAACTTATCAGGATATAAAAACATACTTCTAGAATAAAAGTGGTAGTTGTGAAAAATTGTGTTGTGTTTGTAGAGAGGAAAGTAGCTATTTGGTCTAGCTGAAGCCCCTTTACTGCAGCTAGAGCTACTCTTTTCTTAAACTCACTTCAGAGATTAATAAGATGCTGATTCTAGATTGTGAACTAGTCTTGTTTAGACAATTTCTGACAATATAGCTGGGTTCTTTACAATACAAACAAAAATTATTCTTACATTATCACCTTTTTTCTTCTTCTGATAGTATTTTAAACTTTACTAAGTCTAATTGCATTGGTTTAGTGGTTGAAAACATTGGGTTGCTGAGAATGTAAGCTTGGTAATTTACCAAGTAGGGGTCCTGGTTGCATTCTGACCTTCTTTTAAACA